GGACAGTAACTACGAGGGGAGTGAGTGATTGCTGGACCCAGGCTAAAAGGAGATTAGCCTGTAAAAGGGAGCATTCTGGAACTGGTGAGGATCTTATCTGTATTCAAGGTTTGATTAGACATAGATTTGTGCATTTCATTTTGCTTGGTGACTTACTTTGTTCTTTTAGAGTAGCAGCCGTGTTAGTCTGTATCCGCAAAAAGAACAGGAGTACTTGTGGCACCTTAGAGACTAATACATTTATTAGAGCATAAGCTTTCGTGGACTACAGCCCACTTCTTCTTTGTTCTGTCTGTTACAACTTGGAACCACTTAAATCCTACTTTCTGTATTTAATAAAATCACTTTTTACTTAGTAATGAACTCAGAGTATGTATTAATACCTGGGGGAGCAAACAACAGTGCATATCTATCAGTGTTATAGAGGGCGAACAATTTATGACTTTACTCTGCATAAGGTTTATACAGGGTAAAATGGCTTCATCGGGGTTTAGACCCCATTGGGAATTGGGCATCTGAGTGCTAAAGACAAACACACTTCTGTGAGCTGTTTTCAGGTAAACCTGCAGCTTTGGGGCAAGTAATTCCGACCCTGGGTCTGTGTTGGAGCAGACGGGAGTGTCTGGCTCAGCAAGACAGGGTGCTGGAGTCCTGAGCTGGCAGGGAAAATAGGAGCAGGGGTAGTCTTGGCACATCAGTTGGCAGCTCCCAAGGGGGTTTCTGTGATCCAACCCGTCACAGCCGTGTAAGTCTGTTTCAGCAAAAACAAAGAGGAGTCCTTGTGGCACCTTAAGAGACTAACAAATTTATTTGGGCATAAGCTTTCGTGGGCTAGAACCCACTTCATCAGATTCATGAAGTGAAAAATACAGGAGCAGGTTCTAAAGCTTGACTAACTCGAATGCTTTCCCAGTGACAAGCTGTGAATTATTTTAAAGATGAAATTCTGTTTTCCCACCATAAAAGAGAGCACAGATGATAAAGTTTGGTGTGCAATCATTTTTTTCTTTTCTTTCTTTTTTTCCTAAGGAGCCCCCAAAGTCTTTCTTGCCATTTTAGGCTTTAAGTGATTCATAGTCCATCTGAAAATTAATAAATAATAGCTGACTCCTGGAATTAATTTCTAAGATTAAAACCTTTGTTTCTGAATATATGACTTTTTTTTCTGCTGATGATGGGCTACTTAAAATGATGTCACTTCAAGGACATCTCTTTTTTTCTCCCTTTCTCCTCCTCTTTCACTGTAAAACTGACTTTCATTAGTCTGCAAAATTATACTGGACTGAATGGCTTTCCTTCAAAGTAGACATAAGAGTGCCTGTGTGTACACACACACACAGATAAAATGCTGTTTGATTGCCTCTTCCCAGCTGTTTCCCTTAGAGGTTCTAAAGTGGTGGTGTGATGGGGAGGCAAGAAATTGCCTGACCAAGAAAAACTAAGGCTGAACTTTGCTGAAAGACTGTGCATGCAGATCCTTTTGGCAGCAGTTGTTTGTCCTCAGGATGTCTGAAATAAGCCCTGCATAATAAAGGCGGGGGGGGGGGAGACGAAAGCGGGAGAGAGCAGGCTCCTTCATGACCGCTGCACACAGCTAGCCAGTGTGGCTGAGGTGCTTGGAGCTGGTGTAGCAGCTCCTGGGAGGTGGGAGGCTGAAGAGGAGGAGAGGCCACTGAAGGGTCACCCAGCGCTGGGGGCCTCAGCAACAGCAGCCAGTGAGGGCGATCAGCCCAAGCCTGCCTGCCTCTCCGAGCCTCGGGGGGTGGGACCCTAGGCTCCAGCCGCCTGATTGTTGGGAGGGCAGGAGCCTCTCTTGATGGATTGACTGGAGATGGATCGAATTACACCATTTGCTGTGCTCGCGTTTGTTTTGCTCCCGGTTTGTCCCGGCGCTCCTAGAGCTGGCGAGTTTCAGGATTACGCTGGAGCAGCCCGAAGCTAGCCTCCGGATTTGGGTTTTGCTGTAGCGCTCTCCCAGGCTTGCTTTCCTCCTTCCCTTATGAGGTAAGAGCTTCATTTGCAACCCTTAGCGCTGGCAGACCTGAGGCTGAGTCGCGGCGGCAGCCTTCGCTGGCTGCACAGTGCCCAGGCTAGTTTTGCAGTGCGCATTGCCAGGCTGGCGTGTAAGGGACAAAAATAGTCTGAGCAAAGGTTATTTTTACTTGCTTGTTGCCGACTCTGCGTGACTGGGGAGGAGGAAGGGGGCGAGGAGGAGACAGGAGAGAGGGTACAAACTTCCCAGCGTTTGCAGGGACGGTGCCAATCCCTTCCCCGTTTGCACGGTGACTGCATTTGCGTTAGAGGCTGCGTCCCCGGGCTGCGACGCGCAAATTGGTCTCAGGAGCCTACTGGTGTGTATTTTGGGCAAAGGTAGGTGGGTCCGAGGCCGGCGGGGAGGTGCCGTCTAGAGGCCATTGGAACTGGTCGGGGCTGGGCCCTCCGGACAGCTGCGGGGTGTGCTGGGGAGGGTTTGTTTTGAACGCCTGCCGCGGCTGTGGCAGCCCGCGCTGCCCGTAGTGGGATGGGGAAGCCTGGCAGGAGGCACCGGCCAGGGAGCGCCCTTAGCAGCCATCCTGCCGTGGGGACCCTGGAGCTCCCCGGCTCCAGCTGCCCGTAATCCCAGCCTCGCCCGCTGCACAGCCACCGGGGGGGGGGGAGCAGCGCGCTGGGACGGGGGCAGAAATAGGAACTACCTGTTACTCCTGCCGCGGTGCCCCGCTGCATGGTTCCCCCCAGCGCTCCCCAGCACTACCTCGCGTGTCCTGCCAATGCCAGGCAGCCTGCGCTGCCCCTGGCGCCGCCGCTCCTGCTCCCCTCCCTGGGCACTTTAAGTGCCTTTGAGGTTTCCTGCGAATTAACCAGCCGCTCTTGAATTCAGGAGAGCACGGGGTGCAGAACAATGTGTGTGTGTGCTGAGAGCATTGAACCAACCTGTAAACCCCGGAGATAATGGGACCCACGTCAAGCCAGGGGGTGCAGGAGCACCCAGCACCCCTAGTTCCAGCCCCTATGGGAGAGCAGGCTGCGAGCTTCCTGACTGAATGGGGCATGCAGCGCCAGTGAGCCCTGAACGTGCTGCCTGCCTGGGAAATTCCTCTGCGTGGCAGCTCCAGTCTGCTGCTCCCGTCGGAGCCGGATCAGGCCCCCCTGTCCCCCGTTAGAAATGATTTATTGGATAATCTTGGCCGAACCTTCGTGGTTCCTCCAGTAGTCGGTACTAGTCACGCGTTGGGAGCCAGAGGGAGCTATATTTCAAGCTACCATCAATTATGGATGGAAACAAATAAGAGAGTCAATTCTGCATTATCCCTTTGCAATGGCAGGAATATCTTAACCCTTTCACCCCGCTCGCCTGATGACAGCAATGTTTTGTTTAAGTGTAAAGTGGCGAAACTTTGTTTCGGCTCTGCAGCAACTGGTACAGCAGCTTATACAGAGTAATTAGAAATGGGTTGCAGCTGCCTTTATTATTTATAAAACCTGGATAGAAATGAAAGGGTGCACAGCTATTTCTAGGTGGAGATTATTCCTGTGTTTTAAAAGGGATCTTTTTCAAATGCCCTGTCGTGTTTTGTATTTTATGTCTCTTCTATATAAACATATTGTATGGCTGGAAAATGCAATTAAATGCTTTAAGCTTCTGAATTTCATTAATTCAAAACACTGTAGTTCCAAGTGTGTAACATGAATATAGCACTCCAGTAAGGTAGAGGACATAGAGATTCTCTGGTCTCCAAATTGTTTAATAGTGTTGGTCAAATTCTGCTAGTTTAGGTCTATGAGAAACCCCCAAGTGTATAAAATAGCTACATACACACCCACATATATGCAGACGGATGTACTTACTCAGGCATGTGTCAGCAGTAATGTGACTGTTCGTAATGTCTACAGATGTAGTACTTACTATGCAATCTGTATTCTAGTTTATATGTACGCCCCACACAAGCCCAGCGAACAATATAGAGAATTTGCAGCAAAGAACTGTCACTGAAAAATTAATCATCTTTGACTTACCTAAAATCCATGACATTTTGCTTAGTTATTTTCAGGGGGGAAACATGTCTGTACTAGAATAACTTTAGCTCTGCATTAAGTTATTAGTGTTCCAAAGAAGCATAAAAGTCTTTTAGTAATGGCATTAATTCTTCCTTCTTCTAAGTGTTGTTGTCTTGGTGGAATTTCTTCCTAATTCTTCAGAGGCTTTTTAATACTTGTGTATCACTCTCATGAAAATCCTTTTATTGAGGATTTTTCCAAGATTCCTTCTTTATATTCTTGAGAAGTCTGGAAGCTCACTATGAGGCAAAAGGCTTTTATTCGGCTTTATTCATGCTATAAAAATCTATCCACCTCAAATGTGTACGTATCTAATTCAGTAAATTAAGCTGTATACAATCATGTTTAATGTAGTGAGTGACAGGCATATTCTGTTATGTTGGCAGATATTGTATAAACATTTACTCTGGCTTGGACAAATAGAAATTGCCAGATGAGCCCTGTGATTTTTTTCTCTATATAATCATAAACTTTAACACTTTTTATAGGAACTAATATACTCAGCTGTTTTTAAAATGGAAAGAAAGAGTTTGCATTAGAAATTTACTATCATTTTTAAATTAAGTAGATTGAATTTGTTTTCAAAGGATAGCCAAAACGGTAACCCAGAGGCTTTAAATTAGGTTGTTTAACAGGCTGCTCACTTTCATCTGCATCTTTAGTTACATTGAACTCCCGTTCTCCTTCATATCCTGCAGTCTGTCACTATCTCTGTTCATTTCTGCTAGGGATGCAACAAAGATATCATCATCATCTAAACATGCTTTGTGTGATGCAGGAGGGTGTGCTAGGAATACAGTGACCAGCCTTGTCACAGCTCCACAAGCCAGCTGTGTGGCTGCATTTGTTTCAATCATTGATGCCCTTTTAGCTGGACCATCTAACATTTCTGCCTCTTTTGTATGGGTGATTTGTTATGAGTGTGGCAGCAAACACTTTAGCCCTTGGAACTGCTAGAACTTTGATCCAGTCTTATGAAGTTCACACATTTAGAGAGAATGCTTAATTATGTGTCCAATTCACTGTGTCTAAATAGGTTCGAGTTCAGATATGTACCATCAAATGAGATACAGGCTGGTAAAGAAATAGTAGTAAAAAATCACTTAAAAATCTTAAACTACAAGGCTCCATGTAGATATGACTAATTGTCACAACTGCTGGTCTGATTACATACATGTTTTAAATTACTGCACTTAACACAGGAATGGGTCTTGCTCACATTGAAGGCAATAGGAGTTTTGCCATTGGCTTCAATAGAAGTAGGCTAAGGCCCCCTTTTTATATACATATTGAAAATGGCTTGGTTACTCTTCTTTCTGAAAAACAAACAAAAAATCTCCAGTAAGAAATCACATGAAGAGCATATGTGGATATTGCCAGTTCTTACCATGCATGTTATAGTGAGTAAAATGATAAAAGGTAGCTTTGCTTCAATGTTTGTCTGTGCCTCCTAAGACCAAGGAAATACTTGCATTATTTGTTTATTGCACAGCTGGTCGCTAATATTGTCCAACAAACATTTTCGTTTTTTTGCTTTGATTAATAAATACAGGAGATTGGGGGAATGCCCTATTTCTTGCTTAGCAACTAAATAAGAAAATAAGAGGGTGATCACATACTATAATTCCAGTAAGAAATGTAAACATATATCTTGCAATTGGATAAATTAAAAATTTGTTCCAGGAACAGTTAAGGAAAAGATGGAAGGCATAATATTTGCATTGGGTAATACAAGCAGTCCTATATGTAATTAAAACGGTTCAAATGTTGATCTAATCAAAACTGCTGTTAGAACAGATTATCTCTTTTTATGCATCAGATAAGCTTGCTGCAGTTACAGTTAAAATCAGTCTAAGCCATTTTATTAAGTTGTTACTTGTTCTGTGAATAGCTGCCAGCTTCAAGTTCAAGTTCTCATGTCACATGAAAGAAATGTTCAGTGAAAATCATATTGCTAGCCTTATGATGCTGTTTTCAATAGCTGAGTGTGTTGTCTGCCTTAGTCCACTTTCCCTTGTCATGCCTTGACAGTAATTATAGTACAGCTAATAACAAAAGTTGATTCAGTTTATTCAAACAAGAAAACTGTTAAATTGTCTAACTTCCAAAGGCAAATGTTTGTCTAACTAGAGAGATCAAATCTGGAGTGTACATATGTAACATATGAGGTGTGTTTATTTCCCTAACTTTTCTGTTCCATTAGGCTTTTGTTAACTAACCTAGATTAGCATTTTAACAACCCTGAAGTGAACTTCTGCCATTCTTTCTACTTGGGCACTGTGTGTAGATCATCCATCATTCTGTCCTTGGCCACAACAGACTACTGCCTTCATAACCATTTGGAGCTACACAGAAACCATCCGACTGTGAACAGAACAGCTGGCTACAGCAATTTTGTCTTCCATACCACTGGCAGCATTGTCTGGCTATGGTAACTAAAGTTAACATCCAGAACATGAAGTTTCTTTTGTTTGGCAGGTTTGGCTTTGCCCTGAGGCAGCTCAGTGGCCACACCTGCAGAAAAGTCACAAAATGGTCGCTTGAAAGCGAAGACACCAATGGACAATTTTAAAAAAACTGGCTTCAGGATCGCAATCTGTTGCTTAGAGTGTGATTATTAATTCAATTATTACTTGAATGAGAACATTTTATTCAAATCCTACTCGGTTTCAATTTGGAGATTATGGCATATTTTGAAAAAAAGATAAAGGAACAGAACTTGCTTTGACTCAGCCAGTCAAACTGCCAAAGAGCACAGAAAGAAAGAGAAGAATTATTCCATGTATTCTACATGTTATTGCAAAAGCTCTTTTCCTTCCACAACGGGAAACATGTGATTTAGCAGAATCAGTGCCCAGAATCTAATAGTTTCAACAGATGCTTTTCTCAGTTTGTTTTGCAGATTTAGGTACTTAATATAAAAGAACGACATAAATTCCAGTATTTATTGCTTTACTCCTGAATTGTGCTAAGAAAGACAGGTAACCAGCAAGTGAATACAGTCAGGGCTCTATTGTAATCTTACATGTTGGGGTGTTAGCATAATTCAGACAAGTTGGTCTAACACGTTGTCTCTTGGTGGAAATCCATGGCTTTCAAGAAGTAGGGAGGTCAAGAAGTGTTATCAAAAAATGGGGGGAGGGAGGGAGAAAGTGGAAAAAGGGGAGGAGCACAGGATTTAAGCAAGCGAGTGACATTTTTCTGTCCAGAATGTTGAAGAACATTGTAAATTAAATCAGTCCCTAGACAGCTTTGATTTATACACTTACACAGCAGATTGTCCTTGGTCTGTCTGACCGTGGTAACATTACAGAGGTCATATTTACAAACATATGTTCTTCTTGAATAATGGGTAATTAATGAATAATATTATTTTCTGCCATTTCTGTACAGGTTTTTCTTAAACACAGGCCACACAGTTCATCTCTTTTCTTCAGATGAAATAACTGACACAACATCCCTCTTGTAGTATCTTGAGTAGTAGTAATGTGCAAGATCATGTCCCAGGCCCTCCCATTGGTAGGATTCCCCTCAGAGTTTACAGTATCATAAAACAAATGGTACTTATCTCACTTTTCTAAAAGCATCTCTGCATTAGAGCCTTATTGAGATTCACCTCCCCCATATTGGCATGCGAAGATCCATAGTGTGCTCTGGTCTCTTTTCCCAAGGATGTTTATTGGCACCCGTGTTATTCAGGCCCTAGGAATATCACCACATGGACAGACGGTGTTGCTGCTACTCCACTATGTACTGTGACACTCACATAGAGTCAGAAGAAAATTCTTGTACTCATATTTGAAATCCTCCTTCAATCAAACAGTACCCAGGCACCAGTGGGCCTGTGTGTGCTTTGGGTTGTTCTGGGAGGCTGCAGAGGAGAAAAGAAGTATATATGTATTTAAATTTCAAATGCCAGAATAAGATCCTAAGCATACATATAAGAGGTAAACTTCAGGCTGGTATAAAACCTTAGCTGGTGTTTTGAAAACATTAAAGTGTTAATAAAGTAGCCATTACTCTGCCCATTATTGTAGGCTGTATTTTAAAAAAAATTTAAAGGGACACATCTGCAGTGCATGTGTCCACAGTTGAATAGCACACAATTAAATGGATGGGCGTCAGATCTTACTACCACCCTGGCTAAAGCAGGCTTCGTAATTTACAGAAGTAATGCAGTCAGTGTCTAGGATCAGATAATCAGCAAACCAGTACAGAATCACTCTCCAGTCCCGGCAGTTGGCTAAGAGCCAGCTTTTTTTGCAAATATAGCTATTCTGTGTATTACCACCTGGAGAAAGGGCGCTGAGGTGAGGGGGTAGGGATAAGAGTGTGAAAGTTGTCAACAGTGAGAGAACAATGTCCCCAGGCGCCTCATGAAAGGAGTAATAAGAAAAAAATCATCTTACAGAGTTGAATGGTTTAGTTCAGTTTGCAAAGATCTGCTTCTCCATGACAGCTCCTTAAATCCAGCACATGTGTATCAAAGATTAAGACACTTGAAAGGCTAGTCATTTGTTTTTGCTGACTAAATCATATACTTTCATGATGTAAATGCTGTGCAGATATTTTTAGCAATACATTTTTTGATTTAATGATAACCTAGGACAAGGATAATCAAATCACATGCTTCGGGGATTAATCTGATTCCCTGCAGAGGGTAGGATAGAAAATTTTGCTCTTTATACAACTATACAAGTTTTTTCAAGGTGTGCAGTCGATGGTGTTTTCCTTCCCCTGAAGCATCAGGCTTTGCTCCCTGCCAAAGACAGTATACTGGACTTGATAGAGCAGTGGCCTCGCATGAAAAAACTATGGCCATATATTTATTTCATTTTTTGCAGCATACATATAGTTGTTTCATGCACTTGTAGAGATAGATATATACGCATGCACGTGTGTATTTTGTTTGGATCAGATATACTTGTTCATTCACACAGGGCCAAATTCATCTCTGTGCTGGTGCTATTTGTAACACAACAGCTGAGGGGAGTGGTTTGTGCCCCCCTATTCACGGTCCGCTGGGAGCTTGTATGAGAGGAAGGATGGTATAGTGGTCAGGGTGCTAGCTGGGAACTTAGAAGACCTAGATCCAATTTCCTTCTCTGCTACAGGCTTCCAGTGTGACCTTGCGAAAATCAACTATCCTCTCTGCACCTAAGTTTCCCAATGGGTATAAGTTTCTCCCTACTTCACAATATGTTGTGAGGATACATACATTTAAGATTTGGAGATGCTCAGATACTACAATGATGTGGGTGATAGATATAAGAGTCTAAGACAGCTGGTGCATGCTGGCCCCCATGTACAGGCTACAGCTGCCCTAAATGGTGCCCCTGTTGCAAAGAGACATTACAGTGGTGCAAGAACACCTACCATTCCTCCTTCAGTCTCTGAAATCCCACCTGCTCCCACTGCAGGTGCCTCCTATTAGGGTGGGGAGTAGAGCCAGCTTTGCAGCTCCCACAGATGGCCTTTTGCACCAGGAATATCCCCCAGTGGGTCACAGCACAATAATGAATTCCCCTCTCTCGCAGAATGTGTGCATGTGCATGTATATGATATATTTGCAAATATACACTCACAAACAACAAAAGTAGCAAATGTAATGTGATCCAAGTGTTCAATGCTAGGCTAAAAAGAAATATCTGCCATTATGTGAAAATCTAGCGTGACTGGAACAGAGTCTGCATTTGATTAGACAATTTAAAAAATGTAACAGACTTTACACTTGAGGGCAACGCTGCAAAACAATTGCACAGTGCATGTTATAAAATTGGTTTGCCTTTACCAGATTTCGATGCACTGTGTCGCAAATGCTAAATATGAAATGTCACATGGTAAATTAATGCTTTTTGATGTCATAGAGTAAATAAAAGCAACAGGGTAAACAATTACACAAAAGTTTAAATAACCCATGAGAGAGAAGAATATAATTCACAGTGCATTCTCTTCTCTGGCACAAGAGAAACATTCTGGACAACATTCTTTCCCTGTTGTAGTTAATCTTTAACACTCAACAAGATAATCTTAAAAGTTAAGTTTGAGCTCCAGCTTTGTATACTTTTTTCACACCTGCATTTGCACATGCAGTTGACTGGTCTGACAAAAGTGGCAGAACACATGTTTTGCATATCCCAATGGGTCAGTTTAGTGACCAACTACTAGATTAGTCCATAGAAGAGGCCAACATATATTCAAAATAGTTGTTCACCCATTTTTACAGGCTAAATCAAGTGTGTGGGCAAAATTTGAGGCTGGCTAAAAATTCAGCCTTCAATGTGTATACTAGTAACCCAGCTCCCAAGGTGCTTAGGAGGCTGTGACCTGTTTGTTGCCGTATGTGACTCTTCTCTTTCCCTTCACCTTTTCTACCAGCCATTTACTTCCTCTTTGAAGTGCTGGCACTCCTGTAAACCCCTCCTCCCAAAGCAGCATTCCTGACCAGCACCCTTCTAGCCAGCAGCCACACCACGACCTTGCACTGACATCCAGCAGCTGCAGTATCTTCCATCAGTACCACCCCCGCAACCAGGGTCAGCGATATAATGCAAGAGGTTTGGGATGGGGAGGAGGTGTGGAGGAGGATATTCTTCATGAAGCAAGATTCAGCGCTACATTGTCTGGGCCACTGGCTGTTAGACAACAGATATGCCCCTCCACCGTGCAATTCTCTCACTCCTCAGCATCCTACTCTCGAGGGCACTAAGGGCCTCTTCAAATACCCTCCTTTCCATTTCAGAACATCTCAGCCTTCTTCTCCTGCAGGCATACCCAACCTTCACTCTCTCATCCCTCATGTGCTGGCCCGAGGTGCTAGTGGACAGTGCTGATGCTTTGGGTAGGAGTCCTAGGGAGGGCTGTTCATGTGAGGGGCCATTTTCTCCAGTGTTGAAAGATGGTAGTGCTCATGAAAGAGAGAAACTGATGATTCTGTAGCTGGATAAATTGCACCTTAGATCTACGTGATATCCTCACTTGCACGCACTGGTTTATACCTGTCCCTTAGCTCTCCTTATCTAGGACTACTAACCATGCTGAAATGAATGGTGATGTTGCAATATAAAATCAAGCACTGTAGGTCTTGTATAAAAAGAGTTATTTATTTCACTTGTGACTCCGATCCACATTTGAAAGTTAAGTCTCCAGCCATGAAAGGTATCAGTTCACTTTGGCTTCAGTCTTTTTGTTTGTTTCTAAGTCTATATTAAAGCCTATATCTAATCATATAAATATTTGCATCATCATTAGAGAGCGTGGAAACTGTTTAGATTTCAGTCTCAAAGAAACTGCACACCAAAAGGCAGGCACCCATGGAAAACACTGGGCAACTTTGACATCCATTTAAAAATCACAGGAACATGGAAGTTAACTCTTAATAAGTCTCATAAAACACAGGTTCATGAGCTGAGAAAAAAATAGAAAAAAGAAAAATACCTGAATATCGATGGACCCTAAACTATTATCTTGCTGGTAAGATTGGTCCCTGCAGGTCTGGGCAGAGCACTGAGTAGAAACTTGCATTATTGCTGTCTGTGCTGCACCTGTTCTGGGAGTAAATGGAAGACCTACATCTCCAGGGCTGGCAATATGGCAGTTTTCTAAAAACAAAGCAGCTACACACCAAAATCCACTCTTCATTTTCATACCATACTGCTTGGGTGCTGTAACCAGTAAATTCATCATATCATAGAGCAGTCCCAGTCCAAGGCAAGCAGTTTACATTAGTAAAATGTAGGTCTGTTAAGATGGTTAATCAGAATACTGCATAAGCAAATGTACCTTGTACTTTGTCACCAAGCTCAGGCTCTGGCAAACTGTCAAAGGGAGTAAGTCCCACAGGAGCTATATAACAGCTCTGGCAGCAGATACAGCTTCAAAACAAAGCTCGCTTTCAACTGTAGAGCATGTGTAATGCCCTGGCAAAGGACAGAAAATGGAGTAACAAGTCAAAAACCAGCGTAAAGAACGATAATTGAAGGGATCACGTATGTTTTGGTCTACATCTTATTTCATTTCGTGCTGAAACTGCTTTGTTTGAGTAAGTTTTTGATCACAAGAGAGTTGAGTCCTCAAAGTGTGTCTAATCAACCACTGAACTTTTGCATCACTATAAGTCACCCTAGCCCAGTGGGTCTCTCAACCTTTCCAGACTACTGTACCTCTTTCAGGAATCTGATTTGTCTTGTGTATCGCACATTTCACCTCGCTTAAAAACTACTTGCTAACAAAATCAGACATAAAAAGACAAAAGTGTCACAGCACTGAAAATTATTACTGAATATATTACTGAAAAACTGCTTTCTCATTTTTACCATATAATTACAAAATAAATCAATTGGAATATAAATATTGTACTTACATTTCAGTGTATACTATATAGAGCAGTATAAACAAGTCATTGTATGAAATTTTAGTTTGTTCTGACTTTGCTAGTGCTTTTTACGTAGTCTGTTGCAAAAGTAGACAAATATCCAGATGAGTTGAGTACCCCCTGAAAGACTTCTGTGTTCCCCCAAGGGTACGCGTATCCCTGGTTGAGAACCACTGCCCTAGCCATTTAGCAAGCATTCTATCATTTTCTTCTAGAGTAAAGGGAGGTGTGCTCTCTCTGTAATGTTACTGAAGTGTAACTAACAGTACTATAAGCCAATTAAGATCAAACCTGTGATATTCAGTACTATGGTTTCATCACTTTAATATTAAACAATTTTTTACTTTGACATAGCTCAAGAAGTGTTGATGCAGACATCTTTAAACAAGTCAGGCAATATCTTAAAGAGACAGATCTTCTATTTGCTGTTTCAGAATCAGTTAGTATCATGGCTCCAAATACTAAATTTCTCCAGACATTTTATAAAAATTGTCCCC